GTAGTGTGCTTATTATTTGCACAATTTGGGTGGGTTTTTGAGAAGTTGTTTTGTTTTTTATCATGTTTATTTTTGATGAGTTTGAGAGTTATATTTTCTTGAAAAAATAAAGCATGATGTTATGAAAAAAAAAGAGAAGTTCAAGAAAGAAAAAAATGTGAAAAAATAAGTGAACTTCAATAGAAAAAAAAGGCAAAAAAAAAAAGAAAAAATGTTAAATGTTCAAATGTTCTAGTGGGAGGCTGATTTAAGGAGAATAAAATAAGAGCTTCAATGAAAAATTCAAGTTTGGAAATAAAGTTTGTTTATTCACTCCACTTCTTCATTATTATATTTTTATGAGTGGAATTGTAAGTGTTGGGATTGTTTATTATGATTGGAGTATATTTGGTTGATGCTAGAGTTGGTTATGTTGTTGGAGATATGTGATCATTATTTATTTTGATCATGGGTTTTATTAGGATTTGCTCCCTTAAGCATAGCTTTTCTCTCACTTGTTCCCAAATGATACCTACCCTTTACCCTAGCCTTACATTACAAGCTTTAAAGACCTTCCGACCTTTGTGCATAGAATTGTATGAATGTGAAAGTGTTGTTTATCAATGCAAGTTATGATTTGACATATTTCGAGTCGACTAGTAGGATTGAGCGTTCATTGTTTTATACACACGAGAGTGTGAGTTGGGAGGGCATTGTTCACATAAAGGGGTTGGTTGGAGAGAGATCGAGTACACCTTTTACTCACCACAAAAATGAGAGTTGAGTGTGTGAGCACTAGTCTTGAATTCTATTTGCTCTCGTAGTTTGCTCTATTTGACAATAGTTAGGGGAGATTGGTAGTTAGATGGATTTGATTGGTTGATTTTGAAGCATGTTTATTTGATTTACCCTGAATCGTTTGTGCTTGATTTTTACTTTTTGGGGTGAAGCATATTTATTGATTCATTGATGAGATCTTTGCTTAGGGACAAGCAAAGGTTTGACTTGGGGGAGTTTGATGTGTCTATTTTATATAGTATTTTACCCCCATCCCTTGGTCATAATTAGTAGTGTTTTTGGCTCTTTAGAGCCATTTTTATTACTAATTGGTGTTTTCTAGTGTTTTCGTAGATTTGGTTGACTTTTGCAGGGATTTACACTTTTGGAGTATTTTCCCGAGATATTTTGGAGCAATCACGAGCATTGGAGAAGCACGACCAGACTTTATAGCCCAGGACCGGTTAGAGCCATCGAACCGGTGATTAAGGGCTCGGTATAAGTGATACCGGGGCATTTGGACCGAGTAATCAAGACCCGAGGAGGAAACCCAGATTGGCCCGAAGAATTGGAGCCCAATCGTAGTCCAATTAGTGGCCCAAGAGAGCCGCCTGGCCAAAGAGGCTGGCGCCCGGCCGGGCAGGGGAAGCTAAGGTCAGCGCCCGGTGACGCACCCGGCCGGGCGCGAGAGTTTACCTGAAGAGCAAAAAGGTGCGCCCGATCGGGCGCGTGTAATTATTAGGAGACGATTAGCGTCGTTTTAGTTTGTTTTAGTTTAGGATTTGTACGGAGTATAAATACTCCTCCGTAATACGATTTTAGGATCTATCTATCTATCTATCTATCTCTCTCTTTTTACACTTTCTTTACTCTCTTAATTGTTTTCTTAGATTTTTTCTTTCTTAAACCTTTGTTCTTAATCCATTCTTAATTCCAGATTTGTTTGGTAACTATTTCTCTTCTCTTAATCTTAGTTGTTTATTTTATTCCTTTAATCATGTCTTACTTTATTGCTTTGATTTGTTTAGTTCCTATTATGTGTGAGTAGTTCTATTTCTAGGGGTTTATGGGGATCCATAAATAATATAAAGGGGTAATTTATTGTTGTTAATTATCAATGCTAGATTAATTTCCTATTGATTGATTTAATGCTCTGTGACTAGATTAGGCATGATCTTTTATGCATGAGTTTGACAATATTGATTTGAGAATCGACAGATGAGGATTGTCGTTTAGGTCTAGTTTCAATAGGCAGGTTAATTTATAAATGGTTAGGTCGAGATTCGAAAGATGAGATTTAATACCGGTAAATTAATTGTGTGATTATAATACGTAGCGAAAGCCCTTTATAATCTGATTAATGTATGCATTGATGAATGATTATTATATTCTACCCTGGAATATTATTTATTGGTGAACCTATGCCCTAGATCCTTTTATATATTATTTTCTCCCTATTCTTGATCTCCGTAGTTTAGTTTATTATTCAAATTCACATATTGGTTACCTAATAATCTAGATTAAATTAGTTAATTAGGAATAGAAAGACTTGTTTCCCTGTGGAGTTCGACCCTACTTCCCTATCTACTTTAGTTAGAGGACTTAGGTAATTATGTTTGATTAGGGGATACGACTTTACCCTGTCAGTGATAGTGACACTCAAGTTAGGCCGCAAGGGCTAAGTGTGTGGAAAAAGATATTATTTCAAGAAGAGTCAAATGGTGGTGACTCTTAAGCCAGGTAAGTTAATAATGTAGGGATCAAGCCCCCTAGTCTAGCTCTAAGTAAATAGGGATGAGCATAGGGAATCCCTTGATATGATCACGGTGTAAGTGTGTGAATGTGAATATAAATGCATTTTTATTACGGCCGCACCTCGATGTGAGGTTGCCTACGTATCCGTTAGGAATTAGGCTGAACGTATCTCTAGTCGAACCTCGCACAAGTGTGTATACCTCAAAAGGTCTTTTTAAGGGTTGTAACGTGGTTAGGCTAAAGGTTGAAGAAGAAGGGGATAAAGGCTCAAGACCCTCGATAAGCCCCCAAGGTGTGCAACTTTGCTTTTGAATATTTGTATTTTTATGCTTGAGTTTCTACTCTTTTTTAGCTCTCTTTCTTTTGCTTTAGCATTTATTTTATTTTTATAGGTGTGGGCAATCCCGATTATGCGGTCTATCACTCACTTGGCATTCATGTTTCTCAGGCACGGTACCGAGCACTCGATAAGAGATGCAATCTGAGACGTATTCATATCAAAGACACGTTCATGTCAAAGATATTGGAACACTTGCCCTTTTATACACTTTTATTATTTTTGCTTTTTTTCTTTTGATATTTTATCTTTTGAAGTCACTCAAGCTTTTTATGAAATTGAAAATTGCATAAGTTGCACACCATCCCATCCCAAGGTTAGGTAGATGTAGGTTGAAGAAAGAAAGGTTTATCGTTAGACGAGGCTCAAAGTGGTTTATGAAGAAAGGATTGTAAATTAGAAAGGTGAAAGGAAATATGATGTGGCTACAAGGGGTGCCTTAAATAATTGGTATACCTTGTGCTTAGTTTGACATGGATTTATTTTTTTTAATTTTTTTTTTTTTTTTTTTTTTTTTTGTAATGAAATGATCATATGAAAGAAAATAAATGCTCATTTTTATTAAAGGAAAAGAAATAATGATCCTACAAAATAAATCTAAGGGGAATAAAAAGGTGTCTATGCTAGACTTATTGGGGAAAGGGTAAATAAAAAATAGAAAAAAGATCATGAAATCTTGTCGTTGAAGCTTGCGTCTTGTCCCTTGGCTTATCATCACTTGGTGTTCTTGCCGACTGGAGGTATTGGAAGCCCGTTATTGTCGATCAAATATTGGATTGCTTCCTTTAGCTTCCAACATCTCTCAGTAGTATGACCCCTACCTTGATGGTACTTGCAGCGTACATTTGGGTTCCAACTAGGCAATCTCTTTTCAAGTGGGGGATCTTGAATGGGTCCAATAGGAGTAACGAGTCCCTTTGCATGGAGTCGATCGAAAGCATCATCGTAGCTAATTCCAATAGGGGTGAAATCCTTTCTCAGTTGCTTTCTAAATCTTCGATTATCCATGGCTAAGATTTCATTAAGGTCGAAAGTACCAACAATGTTACTAGAGTAGGTGTTTTCGGAAGAAGAAGGATAGTCGTTCCTTTTTCCTTTACATCCACTGTTACTATCGTTACTAATCTTGGCCTTCTTGTCGCGCGGAGGAACATGAAGGAGATTTGAATCAATGAGGTTTTGAACACGATCTTTGAGGGCAACACATGCTTCGGTGGTGTGACCACGACCTCTACGGTATTGGCAATAAGAATTTGGGTCCCAATTGGGATACCGTTTTTCAGGCGGAGGGTCTTGACTGGGACCAATGGAGTGAATATGATCTTGATCGTGAAGACAGTCAAAAGCTTCGTTGAAGTCATTCCTATTGGTGTATATTCTTCAATGGTCTGTTTTGCCAGTGGCTTAGGAGCATTGAGTTCTTCATTAAACCCTTGGCGAGAATTTTGTTCGATGACCATCACCCGATTTACTAATCCTTCTACCACATTCAAGAATGGCAACGACATCTTGCAGTTTTCGAACGTCCTCTTTTAGACTTGACGAGTCTTCCCTGGTATTATCTAAGAAAAGACTTTCATCCTCCTCAATCATGGCCACTTCATCGAAATAGGTTATATAAGTTGTCTCGATCATGGGCTCTCTTACAGGTGTGATAAGAAGTGATGGATCGAAGGATGTTTGATCTTCTTTGATGGCTAGAATCTCGGAAGTTTCATTGTTATCGATCAGATCTTGAATAGCTTCTTTGAGTTTCCAACACTCCTCATTGTCGTGACCCTTTCCTTGGTGATATTTGTAGTGCTTATTAGGGTCCCACTTGGGTGGCCTGGCTTCTGGAACTGGATCTTTGATGGGCTCTATGGGCATGACTAGTCCTTTGTGATGTAGCTTCTCGAAAGTTGTTTCCTAACTCATACCAAGTGGAGTGAACACTCTTTTTGACCTTTGGATTCGTGATTTTAAATCAGTCGCTAATTATCGACTGAAAGTTAAATCTGTCGGTAATTAGCAACGGATATGCAGTCACTAAATTCTTTGATAGAAAAAAAAAAACAAGGCATACAATAATGCTACAATTATTGCAGTTTGTAGGCATTTTAAACGATATTATTGAATAATGACCATAAAAATACAGAATACTTGACAAGTATTTTTAGAAAGGGATATGAAATATTCATTAACCTCAAAAGTTATAGAACTTATACAAATAACAATTAAACAAAAAAAAAATACAAAGATCTTAATCTACAACCACATATTACAACTTTAAACTTAAAAAATCTTCAAACTTGGATCTTCAAACTTGAACTTGGTAGATTTGGAAACTTCACTCTTTTTTTTTTGAAGAATTTGGAAACTTCGTTTACAACCTACAGCGAAATTAAAAAATATCAAAGTTAAAACATGTATATCGAAATCAAAGTCAATAGAGCAAACAATGCGAGCATTAATTACGAAAAAACAAAAGATCTAAAAACGGAAAAAAAATATATAACTGTTCAAATTAAACGAGATCTAGAAGTGAAATTGATGATAAATATTATGATTAAACACAAAATCAAAGCAAGAAAAAAGAAAATGACAATTTATCAAGAAAATATTACATAAAAAATCAATTTAACAAAAGATCTAAGTAGAATTAGCCAGGAAATCTAGAAATCGAAAACAAAAAAAAATATCTAAAACGAAATCTGGAAATCGAAAACGAAAAAATCCATGAATTTAGATATAAAAATAAACGAGATCTTGATTTAAAAACGATTCTAAACAAGATCTGAAAAGTAAAATAGCTAAGTTTGCCGATTAAACAAAAAAAAATAACTGATTCAAAATACATAAGAACAAAAATTGAGTAAAAAAATAATGAGAAGATTTACCTTGCCTAACAATTAAAGATCTTCCTTCAATAAATTATAGAGATAACTCAAATCCACTTCAATGGAAGAGTTTTTAGAGGTAAGAACAAAAAGGGAAACATGAAGAGAGAGAAAGAGGAGGATGCATGGTAGAAAGAGAAAGAGAAAGAGAAAGAGAATCGGAAAAGAAAGAAAGGGAAGAGAGAAAAAAGGAAGGGGAAGAGAGGGAAAGGGAAAGGGAAAGGGAAGAAAATAAGGGGGCGGCTCATGTGGAGATGAAAAATAAAGAGTACGTTAGGGTTTCTCTTTATATAGGGTGAACTTTAGAAAAATGAAACACTAATTAGCGACCGCATAAACAGTCGCTAATTTGCGACCGACTTGAAATAGGTCGGTAAATACCAACTGATTACCAAATCAGTTGGTAATTAGTGACTGTTTAAAATCAGTCGCTAATTAGCGACCGTATTAACAAGTCAGTCGCTAATTACCTACTGATTTTTAATCAGTCGCTAAATTAGTAAATTAGCGACTGATTTGATGCTAGTCGGTAAATTCGATCGCAAAAAACGCATTTTTTTGTAGTGCTTTTTCAAGTCTACTTTCACCATACATCTAGGAGAATTATGAGCTCTACCATACCCTTTTATCAGCTCTGAAGCAAGCAAAATGTTATCAACTATCTGTCTTCCAGGAATAAACCCAGTTTGACTCTCACTAACCACCTCAGGAATCACACCTTGAAGCCTGTTAGTGATGATGAAGACACCCATTTGTGTCTCCCCAAAACCAAACCCGGTGATGAGTACCTTTCACGTCGAATCATAATCGAATGAAGTGAAAGTGTGGAAAGTCTAGTATTGCGGGTAGTTTTAATTTCTTTTCTCTTCTTTCTGTTTTTGAAAACCTATTTTAAGAAAACAGCCAATCCATTTTGGTTGGTCCATGATATGGGTCCAATAGTAGTGTAGTTGGATAGGGCTTGAAAAGAGCTTTCCAACAATATATTATAAGCCCAATTCCGATGAATATTGAGGAAGTTATGGCCAAATTACTAAACTGGGCCCGGTTTGAGCTTTATATGCGGCCCAATGATCTAGAGGAGGGCCTAATATGGATTTATCATTCCTAATGAATGGTTTTAGTCTTCTAGATTCTTCTAGAAGGTTCTTTTCATTCCTAATTCAATTAGCATTGATAAATTGACTTTTTAGAGTTCTAATCAGAATAAAAGAGTGTTTTTAAGGAAAATACGATTTTATCCTCCTGTACGGCCAATTTTATCTAAATTTAGAAAACGCGTAAAAAAATAGATAAGCGCCTGGCGCTAAGCATGGCGCCTGGCGTCTGGCGCTAGCGTTAGCGCCTGGCGCTAATGGTTAGCATCTGGCGCTAACTTCTTTTTTTAAACGTCAGAACTCTGATTCGTATTTCTATCTTTTTTGCTGATCTTCTCTATAAATAGCCTCAAACTCCGTTTTCAATCATCTATAAGACCCTATTCTCATCTACAATCATCAACTCTCTAGTTTTCTATTTTTCTTCTCTCTCTAAGCTAAACCTTCTCTCTCTCTCTCTCTTTTCTAAACCTACCCTCTTTTGCAAACAAAATTCTGCATTCACAAGATTTAGATACACCTAGCATTATTCGAAGTTGCCTTCGCCCTAGACGTGAAAGGTTTGATATTTCTGAGGGTTTGGTCCCAAATCTCTCTTTCAATTATTTAATTTAATTGTTTTAATTATTATTTCCCTTGAAGTTACTAACGCGTGTATTTTGTTATTAGAAAGAGGTACGAGCCATCCAAGTAAGTAATTTAATTGATTTATCGATTTTATGATATAGAAATCATGCTTAGATTGTTATTTTGATTCCTAGTATCATGTTAGGATATTTTATTGATTCCTAGTATCATGTTTAGGATGTTCCTAGTATCATGTTAGAATGCTTTCTTTAGTATGATATTTAGGGTGATTTGCATATATCAATCATGATTCCTGCGATGCCTTTTATTTTCTTTCTTAATATTCATGTTAGTATCATGTTAGGGTTAAAGCTTTGATTTTTATTGCTTAGTGACATGCTAGGGTTTGTTATTAATCTTGTTAGTATCATGCCTAGGATCTTGCTATTATTATGCTTTAGCATGATTATGATTATTATTTTTATGATTATTATTATGTTGCTTGATATTTATTGTTATTGCTTGATCACGCCTTTTATGTATGTTTAAAGGGAATTGGTACTTGTAATCACGCTTAATAAGATAATTAATAATCTTGTTTAGGGTTAATGTGATTATAATTCAAGTGATCGCCAATAATAGATTTATTTGTGCATTAATATTCAACCAACATAGATAAACAGGTTTAGGGTTAAACCTTTTGATTGTATGTTAGTTAGAAAGCGCACATGAACACGATCAGAATAAAGTAGAGGCCTATTATTAGGGCAGGTTCAATCTCTTTTAGGTTAGATTTGTGCCTTCATCCCTGAACTACCAGTCATGGTTCCAGACCTATTGGAGTTGACGATCTCCTGGATCGTTAAGGGGTGTAACCTTCACCCTGTGAACGGTTTACAAGTTCTTAAAACTTGTTGGCGACTCTTTTGCTCTAGCTTCCTTCCCTTTGGACACCACCGTACTTTAGTGTATGATCACAGTGGGGTTCAAGTTTGGGATAATGCTTGAAATATTACCTTTCACGTCGAACTAAGCACAAGGTATACCAATGATTCGAGGCACCCCTTGTAGCCACAAGGTATAACAATGATTCGAGGCACCCCTTGTAGCCACATCATATTACCTTTCACCCTTCAAATATGCAATCCTTTTTTGATAAACCACTTTGAGCCTCGTCTAACGATAGACCTTTTATTTTTCAACCTATATCTACCTAACCTTGGGATGGGATAGTGTGCAACTTATGCAGTTTTCAATATCATAAAAAGCTTGAGTGACTTCAAAAGATTAAAATAGCAAAAAAAATAAATAAAATAAGCATAATAAATAAATAAAAGTGTACGAAAGGGCAAGTGTTCCAATGTCTTTGACATGACCATGTCTTTGATATGAACACGTCTCAGATTGTGTCTCTTATCGAGTGCTCGATACCGTGCCTGAGAAACATGAATACCAAGTGAGTGATAGACCGCATGATCGAGATTGCCCACACTTATAAAAATATAAAATGCAAAAGAAAAAAAAACAGAAGAGAGCATAAATAAATAAAGTAAAAAAAAGAGCTAAAAAAGAGAATCAAGCCTCAAGCATAAAAATATAAAGATTTAAAAGCAAGGTTTCACACCTTGGGGGCTTATCGAGAGTCTTGAGCCTTTATCCCCTTCTTCTATAACCTTTAGCCTAACCACGTTACAACCCTTAAAAAGACCTTTTTGAGGTATATACACACTTGTGCGAGGTTCGACTAGAGCTACGTTCGGCCTGATTCCTAACGGATACGTAGGCAACTTCACATCGAGGTGCGGCCGTAATAAACATGCATTCATATTCACATTCACACACTTACACCATGATCATATCAAGGGATCTCCTATGCTCATCCCTTTTCACTTAGAGCTAGACTTGGGGGCTTGATCCCTACATCATTAGCTTACCTAACCTAAGAGTCACCATCATTTGACTCTTCTTGAAATAATATCTTTTTCCACACACTTAGCCCTTGCGGCCTAACTTTAGTGTCACTTTCACACACTGCACAGATACATGACCAAATATACTTTCCCTTAGGAACCCTTTGTCATGAAATCTTAACATAACGCTGAAGCGTGCCTTGTCATATCAACATCACTCATCAATCATAATCATCATTGCATCACAAATTATGAAGTACTTAGCCTCCGCGCCTAAGTTACCCAAATACTTTCATCATTGAGTCAACCATTGAGATAGCCTAGGATGGTTTAATCCTTGCACCTTGAGAGATAGTAACAAACAACATTTGAATAAGCTCATTCAACATGCACCTTCAAAAACTTCGCTTATTTCTTTTTCGCGTCTTTCCTTTTCAAGAGAAAGTCGTTACCCTCCACAAAAATGATGGAAAATTTTACTTTTTCGAGTCGCATGATCACAATACAATGCACACACGGGTCATGAGTCCCACGTGTCATTTCACTTTGTGTCGAGTCAACCTCGAGTCAATCACAGTAAGTCAAGTTTATACCTTGAGTCGTGTCGTGTCAATGAGTCAAGCAACACTAAGCCTTAGGTAAACCCTAAAATAATTAAAGAGATTAGCAAAGTCTTATAGTCAAAGATTAATATAGGTGCATCCTAGCGGCAGCAAGAGCAAAATAGGGAAGACCCTACTCCAGCGCCAGACGACAACATCTAGCGTCTGGCAACAGATTTCAGCGCCTGGCACTAGATCCAAGCGTCTGGCGACAGAGCCAAATCGCGGCGCCAGAGGCATTGCAACGGAGACAGAAAGCTCAACCACTCAGAGCGATTATTTCGACCTCATACAATAATTTCGGGTTCCTTGGTACGCCAGTTAGCCCCTATAAGCAATTTGACATGATTAAGTAGTCGGCTTGATTACAATCGCAATAAGTGATCGACCTGACGAAAGATCGTCTCACTTAGCCTAAAACGCCTAAATATTGGCTCATCGCAGAGACACCCACGTACTGGTTCATAAATAACAAAGACACCAACATACTGGTTCATAAACAGTAGAGGCACCGACATAATGGTTCACAAGCATCAAAAGCGCCGATGTACTGGCATAGTGGAAGCAAAGTTCAAGCGAGCTGTAAAGATCGACAAGCGTTGGTCTTCGGAAGTTTTTCTTCAGAATATTATCGCAACAAACATTCAATCATCAAGCTTTATTGTTCAGAGACGCGTGGACATTTTTTTCAAAGCTCTTTTGGTCAGAGATGCGTGGACATTTTTTTCAAAGCTCTTTTGTTCAGAGACGCGTGGACATTTCTTTCAAACTCTTTTGTTCACAGACGCATGGACATATCATTCAAGCTCTTTTGCTCAGAGACGCGTGGGCATATTATTCAAAAGCTCCATTGTTCAGAGACGCGTGAACATATCATCAAAAGCTCTTTTTTCAGAGATGCGTGGACAATCCTTTCAAGCACTTTTGTTCAGAGACGCGTGGACATATCATCAAAGCTCTTTGTTCAGAGATGCGTGGACATATTGAAAAAAAAAAGCTCTTTGTTCAGAGACGCGTGGACATATCATTCAAAAGCTCTTTGTTCAGAGACGCATGGACATATCATCCAAAAAGATCCATTGTTCAGAGACGAGTGAACATTAAAACAGCAAGATGGTGTTCCATAGATTGTGGAAGGTTGTCATAACAACAGCAATACAACAACAAATCGGTTACTTTCAGAGACGTGTGCTCGACGGCGTAAGATACGCGTTTCTTAACTCTTTTATCTATTTAACTAACGCTAGTTTGCAGGTATCGGCGTTACAAGAATGATTTAGGATTGTAGAACATTTTGAATCATTCTCCGTCCCTATCGATACTTTGACTTTTGTTTTTGAAACTCGCGTTTCTCCAAACTCAGTCAAAGTGGGGGCTTCTGTAGACACCCATTTGTGTCTCCACAAAACCAAACCCGGTGATGAGCACCTTTCACGTCGAATCATAATCGAATGAAGTGAAAGTGTGGAAAGTCTAGTGTTGCGGATAGTTTTAATTTCTTTTCTCTTCTCTCTGTTTTTGAAAACCTATTTTAAGAAAACAGTCAATCTATTTTGGTTGGTCCATGATATGGGTCCAATAGTAGTGTAGTTGGATAGGGCTTGAAAAGATCTTTCCAACGATATATTATAAGCCCAATTCCGATGAATATTGAGGAAGTTATGGCCAAATTACTAAATTGGGCCCGGTTTGAGCTTTATATGCGGCCCAATGATCTAGAGGAGGGCCTAATATGGATTTATCATTCCTAATGCAATTAGGAATGGTTTTAGTCTTCTAGATTCTTCTAGAAGGTTCTTTTCATTCCTAATTCAATTAGCATTGATAAATTGACTTTTGTTGACTTTTTAGAGTTCTAATCAGAATAAAAGAGTGCTTTTAAGGAAAATACAATTTTATCCTCCTGTACGGTCAAATTTTATCTGAATTTAGAAAACGCGTAAAAAAATAGATTAGCGCCTACGCTAGTCATTAGCGCCTGGCGCTAAGCATGGCGTCTGGCGCTAGCGTTAGCGCCTGGCGCTAGCGTTAGCGCCTGGCGCTAATGGTTAGCGTCTGGCGCTAACTTCTTTTTTTAAACGTCAGAACTCTGATTCGTTTTTCTATCTTTTTGGCTGATCTTCTCTATAAATAGCCTCCTAAAAACTCCGTTTTCAATCATCTACAAGACCCAATTCTCATCTACAATCATCAACTCTCTAGTTTTCTAATTCTCTTCTCTCTCTAAGCTAAACCTTCTCTCTCTCTCTCTTTTCTAAACCTACCCTCTTTTGCAAACAAAATTCCGCATTCACAAGATTTAGATACACCTAGCATTATTCGAAGTTGCCTTCACCCTAGACGTGAAAGGTTTGATATTTCTGAGGGTTTGGTCCCAAATCTCTCTTTCAATTATTTAATTTAATTGTTTTAATTATTATTTTCCTTGAAGTTACTAACGCGTGTATTTTGTTATTAGAAAGAGGTACGAGGCATCCAAGTAAGTACTTTAATTGATTTATCGATTTTATGATATAGAAATCATGCTTAGATTGTTATTTTGATTCCTAGTATCATGTTAGGATGTTTTATTGATTCCTAGTATCATGTTTTGGATGTTCCTAGTATCATGTTAGAATGCTTTCTTTAGTATGATATTTAGGGTGATTTGCATATATCAATCATGATTCCTGCGATGCCTTTTATTTTCTTTCTTAATATTCATGTTAGTATCATGTTAGGGTTAAAGCTTTGATTTTTATTGCTTAGTGACATGTTAGGGTTTGTTATTAATCTTGTTAGTATCATGCCTAGAATCTTGCTATTATTATGCTTTAACATAATTATGATTATGATTATTATTTTTATGATTATTATTATGTTGCTTGATATTTATTGTTATTGCTTGATCACGCCTTTTATGCATGTTTAAAGGGAATTGGTACTTGTAATCACGCTTAATAAGATAATTAATAATCTTGTTTAGGGTTAATGTGATTATAATTCAAGTGATCGCCAATAATAGATTTATTTGTGCATTAATATTCAACCAACATAGATAAACAGGTTTAGGGTTAAACCTTTTGATTGTATGTTAGTCAGAAAGCGCACATGAACACGATCAGAATAAAGTAGAGGCCTATTATTAGGGCAGGTTCAATCTCTTTTAGGTTGGATTTGTACCTTCATCCCCGAACTACCAGTCATGGTTCCAGACCTATTGGAGTTGACGATCTCTTGGATCGTTAAGGGGTGTAACCTTCACCCTGTGAACGGTTTACAAGTTCCTAAAACTTTTTGGCGACTCTTTTGCTCTAGCTTCCTTCCCTTTGGACGCCACCGTACTTTAGTGTATGATCACAGTGGAGTTCAAGTTTGGGATAATGCTTGAAATATTCCCTACAGATGATCTTAGAGATTATTTTATACACAACAGAGCAAACAGGCTATAGGTCTAAAAGACTTCACATGAGAAGCATTTTTAACCTTAGGAACAAGAGTAACAGCAGTGATATTGACTTTGGAGCACATCTTGTTATTATCAAAGAAATCCATCGCAGCAGCATAAATATCATCTTTGACTATATTCCAAGTTTTTTTTTTGAAGAAAACTGAATTATATCCATCCAAACCAGGAGCTTTAGAGTTATCAATAGCAAAAAGAGCAGCATCAATTTCAGACAAAAAATAAGAGCACAAAGAAGATCAGCAGACTATTTAGAGAGCCTAGCCCCAAACCTAAGAATCCCAAGATCAGCCATAGGTAAAGCTTCAGCAGCAGAGCCAAGATGATTTTTATAGAAGCCCACAATCTCTTTAGTGATGTCACAGGATTAGTAAGCTTAATCCCAGCATCATCATACAAAAAGATGATTCTGTTAATATGCCTTCTTTGTTTAACAGAAGCAAAGAAAAACTTACTATTAGAATCACCAGAGGAAAGCCATTGTATTCTGGATTTCTGCTTCCATGCTTCCTCATCAATTTTTAACCACTTCTTCAAATTATCAATACAATCTTTCTCTCTTGAATGCAAATCCATGTTAGAACAATCATTAACTAGCTGTAGGCGTCGCTCGAAGTGCGCCTACGTTAAAAACATGTGTGAATATGCTTGGCACTCATAGGAAGTGGGAATTGACATATTACGATTAGGGACAAATAAAGTAGGGAGCCGCCAACAAGTTTGTAAGGAACTTGTAAACTGTTCACGGATCATAAAAGGCAACCACGAATAAGGGACAACGATAGGCAACAACGATTGACCCGTGAAGGTTACACCCCATTCATAATCCATGAGATTACTAACTCCATATGGTTTGGAACCACGAAAGGAGGATCGGGGATGATGGTACGAAGTGAGTCATGGAGTTACATTCGTCCGTATTGGCCTCTACTCGATTCTTATAGTGAAAAGTGATTCCTGCGATCTCAAAGGGATACAAATAAAATATTCAATTCGCTCCAAACTATTATTAAGCTAAATTGGTTTAATATTAATGCAACACATAATTCTAAAATATTTGTGATCACTTGAATTAATTAACAAGATTAAAAAGGAATCTAAACCGGTCGTCAAAATTATCTTATAGGCGTGATTTTCAATTACATATTCCCTTTAAACATGCAATATAGTGATCATAAAAATAATAGAATAAACATTAATATTAGAAGCAATTTAACAATAATAGCGTTAGTCAAATCAAATATAAAATAACCCTAATCATGATACTAGCAATATTAAAATAAAATAAGAGTAATTAAATTGATTAATTACTCACATTCTCCGCGTTCCTTTAATTTGCTACATCATGAATAAACTTTTAGTAACTTCAATAAAAATATAAAAGCAAATGAAAATTATTAAATTAAATTAAATAAAAAGTAGAGTTAATTTGGTCCAAACCCTCAGTTATTTGTACCTTTCACGCCTTGGTTTAAGGACGGAACCTCGGGTTAAGTATAGACTCCTTGGAGTGCTTAGGGGAATTATTATGGAAGAAAAATGAGGCTAGAAATTAGGTTAAAGAGGGAGAAGAGAACGATTTTTGGTGTAAGGTGAGAGAGAATGATTATTGGTGCCCCGAACTGCAGAAAGGGGGGGGTCCTATTTATAGGGAAAATGTATTGAGGGAGCACACGGAACCCTAAAATGATAAAAACCCTAAAAAAGTATCCCGCGACACGGCAAAGTGTACCGTGACACGGGAAATCCCACCGTCAGACGAGAAATTTTCCCGTGACACGGTACAAATTTGCGTGACACGGGAAATATTTAGGTTACGGGAAGTGAAAACGCGTTTAGGGATTACGCAGAGAAAACACGGAGCAATCCCGTGGCACGGGATGTGCACCGTGACACGGGAAGAAATGCCGTCACACCACTAGTACATAATTAACCTTAAGTAACACCTAAAAAGTGGTACATAAAGTGGTAAAAATGTTATTATTGACAATAGGTAACACTTTAGTGGGTGATACATCCGCCCATGTTACCTAAGGTCTTATGTAACATTTTGGGTAGTGTATGGTAACACTTTTAAAAGTGTTAATATAAACCCACTTATGTAACACTTTTTAATACTATTAGTATCATTTTTAAGGTGTTACTTTTTATTTCTTATGTAACACTTACTCATTTTTAGTAACACTTTTCAATAATAAAGTAACACTTTATCCGCATTATGTATCACTTTTGTGAATTAATGTAACACTTTGTTGATTATTAGGTAACATTTTTTAAATCATCTTTGACGTATAGTATCACTATATTCAACATTATCTATCAATTTTTGCAAACAAATTTAATACTTTATTAATTGATAGGTAACATTTTTTTTTTTTTTTTGCGCCACATATTATTATTATTATCAAAACCAACTTAGGGCACCCGTTTTGAACCAGTGCCTTTTTTGGGGTTGCCCATGACAGAGGTTAAGGACACCAATTCAAGGGTCTTTAAGGGCACTAGTTTTCCCCTTAATTCGGTGCCCTTTATGCCTAAAAAAATAATAATCCATAAAAAATCCATAAACTTAGGTATTTTTATTAATAAATGCTTGTGGTGTACTGTTACAATTTCATCAAACAAAAAATATTAAATTTTTTTACAATGCTTAAGGCTAGGTAGAAGTAAAGAGCAACATAAGTAGCAGCAATGCTGAACTAGGCCATGATCATTCACAATCTCCTCAACTCCTTCCTTCGATGCTTCCCTTTTTGCAAGTACTGGCTGTTGGGATTGGAGTCACATCCTTGATCATCACAAAGTTCGTCAAATAAAATGGAAATTAAGTTAGAAGATCAGTTAAAGGGTGAAAAAGTATCACTATAATCTTAGTCAAAGTTCAGAATGACAGCAGCAATTAAGAATAAAGAAATTTCACCTTTATAACTTCAAATGTTTTGTTAGTAGGTTGGACAAAGAGTAATAGATATAGGGTTGTTATGTCCTGCCAAAAAAAAGGAAATTAAGTTTGAAGACCAATTAATTAAAGGGTGAAAAAGTATCAAACATAACACCTTTACCAAGTCATTTACTCGAATTATGAACAAATTTTATTGCTGATATAATACAGATATAAGAGACAAGATGAATTCGAATATGCTCTAGCAAGATTATAATTTTTGAATTGATCAATGGATATATAACCCAAAAACTAATCCAAAAGGAAGAGACTCCAGTTCAAGAACCACGTGACAAGCATTGATCGAGATCATACTTCAAGCCACTCTTTTGCGAGCACCTGCTGTTGGAGTGCTTAAATTCCATTAATGAAGAGCTTAGATAATCATTCAAGAAAGAATGTCAGAGATAGAGGTGAGTGGAGTAAGAATAATCAAGAGAATATACTAGTGTATATTCCAAGAAGAATATCTCAATAGTGGGAGGCTTCTCTAAGCATTGCCACCAGTTAAAAAACAATTGAAACCAAGCCAGACTGGGAAAGCCCATAAAACTTCAGAGTTCAGAAACCCATATGTTAACTTGAAATAATAAATTCTAGACCGGTTAGACACAACATTGATCCAGCAGCCAACATACACCTCACAACCAACATTCAACAACCATTTATCCTAAATCAGTTTCTGTATAGAATCAATACAAGCTTACACATGCAACAATTAAATTACATAAATCATGGCTTCAAAAAAAATTATAAAATCTACAAAATTTGAATAAATATTGCTATGTTCAACAGTAGCAGGCAGGACATTTTAGATTCTAATTAATTTAACAAATCTGTTGCTAGTGCTTTCTTAGAACATTTATGCACAAGCATATGCAAATTTGATGACCAATATAACACACTCTATAGAATACATAAGTTCTTCATAATCCATTAAATAATGCATAAATGAAATATAAAGTAGTACTAAACATAAGGTATCTTGCACAGATACATCATTGCCAAAGTTACCATTGACAATATTAATAAAGCGTTAAATTCTATACTATAATCTCAAAATAATTACTACAATACACTTTGAACAAAAATCGAGCTCTTAAATAAGTGTAAAATGACTTTACCTTGTAAATAAAAGTAAGCAAATTTAGAAATAGGAGAAGCAATATAAAAGCATCTTAATGATTGGTTCTTCACTAGAAGAATAATTATCCATTAATAGGACACGAAAAGCAGCAAGCTGCTTCTTCAGTTTGTCTCATAAAACAAGCAAATGATACAAAATAGCTCCTTCTTATTCCATCTAGTCATCTTTCCCCAAAAACAGTAGTCATAATGTCATATATATATATAATCTGCCTTTTAACATTTTCGAAACCAAATTCAATCAATATTTCACAGCATCGTCACATCATTTTGTAATAGTATTATGATAATATAAAGAATGCATCACTCAAATTCCAAATATTTAACATTCTTAAACAATTTCATCTACAACACTCAAAATTCTATAAATTAAAAAAAAAAAAAAAAAAAACAGTTTCAAGCTCAATTGAGCTACGCAATGTAAGAATTCAGAGCACGAACAAAATTTAATAATGAAAATATGCACACACATTACAAATCAGGTTAATTTCAAAAATGTGAATCACAGAACAATAAATCAAATACTCCAAAAATTATCAAATTTCAAACGAAATATAATTAGAACAGGAGAGGAAATCTAACCGGCAACACCAGCTCCATAATGGAAATTGAAGAGTGAGAATGAAATTTAGGGATCTGTTGAGCGAAAAATTGAAAAGAGAGGGAGGGATTTCCGGCAGTAGCAACTCCATTATACGAAGACGGCGATTTCTACGGCTCGCCGTCTCTTCTTCGCCGCCGAATTGATCCCGTTAGCCGTATCATCGGTCATTTTGCGGTTTGATGGATCGATTGAGTCGGATACTAGGGTTTGGATTTGGTCGTTCAATTCTTGTTAAGAAGTTAGAGTTTGGTGAGGAGTAAGAATCTAAAGATTGGGGTAAAATTTCAGAGAGACTTTTGAGCTTCTCCATTGATTAAGGAGATGGAAAGTGTGAATAGCATAAATGGATGGAGAAAAGTGGGAAAAGTGAAAGAGAGAAGGAAGAGAGACAGAAAGATAGAGAGCTTGGAGAAAAAGTGAAAGCAGAGTTAGGCAAGGTTTTTTTTTTTTTTTTTTTTTTTTTTTTTTGTATAACTGCTTTTCATACTCAAAGTGTTACATGAAAGTGTTACTCTATGTAAAGTGTTACTTTGAAGTGTTACATATTACATATGTGTTACATACAAGTGCTACCTACTATCTAAGTGTTACAAAAGTGTTACTTAAATATCTATTTATATCTTGACTTATAAAGTGTTACTACAAGGTGTTACATTAGGCCAACTTTGCAGTAGTGCACGGCATTGTTCACCGTGGCACAGTGCAGTATGCCGTGTCACGGTGTAAAAAGTACGCGGAAATTACACGGAATATTCCCGTGTCACGGAATGGGCACCGTGACACGGGAAATTACACCGTGACACGGGGGAAAAATTTGCAGAAATACAAAAATGGGCACCGTGTCACCCCCGTGACACGTCAGCTTTTGCCGCGTCGCGGCATTTTTGCTGCTGCGCGGTAATTTCAGTTTTTTACCCGTTTTTAAAATAATCATAACTTTTGATCTGTAACTCGGAATAAGGCATATAATATATCATTGGAAATCTTATCAAGTCTAATTTCCAACCCAATTGTAATCAAGTCAAAATGATATGTATATTTAAGATATGGCCGTTTTAGTGGAAGGGTGTCGGTTTTAGGCCGAGTTTAGTGTTTTGCTCATATCTTTTTCGTTATAGCTCGAAATTGGGCTTATGATATATGGTTGGAAATCTTATTTGAAGGCCTATCCAACAAAATAATAATTGGATCAAAATTTTATAACCATAAAATCAGTTTCTCTCAGTTTTGCGATGTGGACACGAAAAGTGGAAAATAGGTTATGGTTTAGGGAAATGAGCTAGAAATTGGATTGGTTCATGAAATATATTGGATAGAACATGAATTTAAGCACTCCAAAGATTAAATACTCAACTCGACCAATAATGGCGGTGAAAGGTGTTCATCAACGGGTTTGGTTTTGGGGAGACATTTTTAGGTGTCTATAGAAGCCCCCAATTTGACTGAGTTTGTAGAAACGTCGGTTTCGAAAACGATAGTCAAAGTAGCCGATAGGGACAGAGAATGATTAAAGACGTTCTGCGATCCTAAATGATTCTGTATACGCTGATACCTGCAGAAAAATGTTAGTTCTACAGATAAAAGAGTAAAGGGATAAAATGCTTATCTAACACCAGTGTATTGGTGGCAAATGAGCTTGGTAGCTTCCTATGCTTGAAGGAATCCATCGGATGACGTCTATTGAAATGCTTTCCATGCCTGAGGAAAGCCGACTGAGGAGTTTGGTAGTTTTCTGAGCCTGAAGAAACCTACCGGATAATACTTTCCATGCTTGAGGAAAATCGACGTATGAATTTGGTGTCATTCTATGCTTGAAGAAATCCACCGATGATGCTTTCCATGCTTGAGGAAAGCCGACTTGGTGGTTTTCTATACTTGAAGAAAAATCCACTGATAACGCTTTCCAAGCTTGAGGAAAGCCGACTTGGCGGTTTTCTATACTTGAAGAAAAATCCACCGATAACTCTTTCCAAGCATGAGGAAAGCCGACTGATGAATATGGTGTCATTCTATGCTTGAAGAATTCCACCGATAATGCCTTCCATGCTTGAGGAAAGCCGATTTGGCGGTTTTCTATACTTGAAGAAAAATCCACCGGATAATACTTTCCATGCTTGAGGAAAGTCGAAAGATGATGAGATTGCAAGTCTCTGTGTATCGAGAACCTTGCGTCATGAAATGATGGTGGTCCTCTTGTCCCCGGACGTGGGCTGTAGATGGTCCGCTTGTCCCCGGACGTGGGCTGTAGATGGTCCGCTTGTCCCCAGACGTGGGCTATAAATGGTCCGTTTGTCCCCGGACGTGGGCTGTAGATAAGACCTGCAAAAATAAATTTGCCAATGGACTCGTATATACTGTGATTGACTTGACCACTAACTTGACCAAGTTTGACTTGATGTGATATGACATGTGTATGACTTGTGAGTGTGTGTGTGTGTGCAGACACAAGCAAACGAAGATGAAAAAGCAAAAAATTTCCATCAATTTTTGTCATGAGTGGAGGGTACCGACTTTCTCCCGAAAAAGAAAGATGTGAAAACTGAAATTTTATTTTCGAACTTCCTTCCAAAAGAAAAGACGCGAAGAAAGGAAAGAAGTTTTGAGCTTCCTCGTTGAGCAAGACAAAATGAATCGCATGGATTGAATTGCTTTTCTTGAAAGTAATGTATGCATGATGCATGTCCTTAGGCCAGGAGGCTAAGGAAAATTACATCATGTGACACGATAGATGAATTAACTTAGGTCCTGGAGCTAAGCATCAAGAAACGATCTTGTACGTCACTTAGGTCTGGAAGCTAAGCACGTATACAGATGAAGTGATTATTGCATAATGAACGTTGCTTAGGTCAAAGAGCTAAGCACGATATGCTTTGTATGATTAAAAATCATTTATATATAAATGTTTCTCAGCACATTATGCGATGCATGAAATAATGAACATTGCTCAGGTCAAGAAGCTAAGCAAGTATACAATGTTTCTTTTAATGAATGTTGTCTTGAAAGATGATGAAGCATGCGCGGTAGGGAAACAAGATTTCATGATAAAGGGTTCCTAAGGGAAAGATGATATGGATATGTATGTGTGAAAGAAGTGTGTGAAAGTGATACTAAGGCTGGCTGCAAAGGTTATGATGATGGAAATTTATGTGAGAAGAGTCAACATGGTGACTCTTTAGGCTGGGTAAGCTAATGTGATGTGGGTTCAAGCCCACAAGTCTAGCTCTAAATGGGTAGGGATATAGATATGAATATGAATGTGGCCGCACCTCAATGTGAGGTTGCCTACGTATCCGTTAGGAATCAGGCCGAACGTAGCTCTAACCAAACTTTGCACAAGTGTATGTACACCTCAAACAGGTCTTTCAAGGGTTGTAATGTGGTTAAGTTGATGGTTTAAGGAAGAAAGGGGTAAAAGGCTCAAGACCCGAGAGAAGCCCCCAAGATGTGTAATTGTGAATTTGAAAATTTTGAATTTTGCAAGTTTATTTTCAATATATATGTTTTTCTTCTTTTTTTTTCATTCTTGTGAATCAATGTAGGCAATCTCAGATCATGCGGTCCATCACTCACTTGGCATTCATGTTTCTCAGGCACGGTACCAAGCACTTGATGAGAGACGCAATTTGAGACGTGTTCATATCAAAGACATTGGAACACTTGCCTTTAGACATTGTTTTATTGTTGCTTTGCTGCTTTTTTTTTTATGAATGTTATACAATTACACATCTTCCAATCCCAGGGTTAAGTGAATGTGGGTTGAAGAAATGAAGGCCAAACGTTAGACGAGGCTCAAAGTGGTTGATGAAAAAATGGATATGTGATTGAATGGTTAATGGGGAATGAATGGGTTGCAAAGGTGCCTCAAGTCATTGGTGTACCTTGGGTTTAGTTCGGTAATTGATTTTTTTTTAATTGAGAATGAATGAATGAATGAAAAATTCTATGATCTAGATGTAAAGGAAAATTGCTCATTTTATTAATGGAAAAGGTGAACGAAACACATGAAACATGGAAAACCTATGCTAGACATGAATGGGGAATGGAGATGAATGATAAAGAAAGAAATCATGAAATCTTGCACGAAGGATCTACTGTGCGCCTTGTGTTCATTACTTCTTACCGCCTGGAGGGACAGGAAGTTTGTTTGCATCCACCAAGTCTTGAATGACGTCCTTCAAATTCCAACATTGCTCCGTAGTGTGGCCCCTTCCTTGATGGTACTTGCAATGGGCATTGGGATTCCATTTGGCGCTCCTTTCTTCAGGTTTTGGCTCTGGAAATGGCCCAATAGGTGTGATCAAGCCTTGACTATAAAGGCGATCAAAGGCCGCATCATAAGTCATTCCTAAAGGAGTGTAAGTTCTTTTCTTCTTGGGCAATGGAGTATCAAGAGCTAACACTTCATTAAGATCAACTTGGCTTATATTGTTGGTAGTATTTTCATGCTTAGAAGACGAAGAAGAAGGATGGTCGTTCTTCTTGTTTTTCCAAGTGTTATTATTGTTACTACCAACAGTCTTTATTAGCTCATCCTCGATATTGATGCCGATGTCGTATACAGCTTCGAAAGTGTTCAGTGGAAGAAATTTGAGATGTTCCCTATATTTATGAGTCAGATTTTGAATAAAGAGGCGAACTATCTCTCTTTCTTTGGGGGGATCTACCAAGAGTGAAGCTGTTTCCCTCCACCTGTTCAGGTAAGCGGTGAAGCCTTCATTCTCTTTCTGTTTGAGAATGAAGAGTTCACGTTCAGAAGTTTTAGTTTGAATGTTACACTTGTAACGATTCATGAAACTGTCGGTGAAATCTTGCCAAGTCGCAGTATGCTTGGAATCTAAGGAATAAAACCATTGTTGGCAAGCATGTTCTAAGGAGAGAGGGAACACCGTAGGGAAGATTGTTACGTCCAATCCCTTAAGAGCCATGGTTGCAGAGAACGCCTTCAAATGGAATATTGGATTGTCAGTAGGCTTGAACTTTGGAATATCAGCAGTGGAGAACTTTTCAGGGAGTCTGTCCTTCACATCCAAAGGAGTGGGAGTCCGTTCCACATAAGTGAATTCCTCATAAATCTTACTCATTTGTTCCTTCAGTTTGTCAAGGGTGGAAATAGTGACCTTGTTTTGTTCCATGGTAGTGACCCTAGTGGTAAGGGTTTGCATCATGGTAGACAGTGCCTCGATGGATTTGTTATGTTCTCAATGTCTTCTTTAGTGGCCATTGAAAGGTGATGAGTAATGGAGATGGCAAAGTTCTCTTTGAACGCCTATTTGATCTGAGAGATTGTTGCGGTAATGACTCGAACCGTATTAATCTATCCCTGTTCCTTGACCAAGTACTGTGAAATAAAATAATTCACTTAATTGTTTGACTCATTGCTCAAGATAGGAAAGGAAGGAAAAAAATAGACATTTGAAAACAGGTGAGAAAACTCCATTCATTTTTTTATTATGACGAAAAAAGGGTGCATGAACCTAATATACGATCATAAACGACCTGGTGCACGACTCGAGTCGGAACATAAAGAAAGTGTGTGGACTATACTTGACTCGTGAGTGACTAAGTGATGTTATAAGACTCGTGGTATGATCGTGTGGTTAGACATGTGAACAATAACCAAAATGACTGACGCGAGGACCAAATTAACACAGACGACTTAAAAAAAGCTGACTGGACTTATTTCAAGGGCACCGTGACACGGAAAACTGTACCGTGTCACGTGACAAGCTGCCGTGACGCGGTGTTTTTTTTT